TGGCTTTCCTCCTACCCCCCGGGTTTGTATTTGGCTCCTTCACTCTGTGGTGTTGGCAGACTTTCTTGCTTCTTGGAGCCTCAGTTTCCTCCTCTGTACATTGGGGATGAGACTAGTACTCACCTTAAAGGATTGCTGGGAGGCTCAACTGGCCCAAGACGTGTGAGTGGCTCAGTGCGTGCTGGGCGCATGGCAGGTGTCAAGTGAACGCCCAGTGGTCCTGTTGTCTTTCAGCAGCTGGCTGCTCTTTTCTCACAGTGTGAAATAACCGGAATTTATTCATGGAAAAAGCCTGTAAGCGCCCATTCCACTAAAATGAGTGTGAAATGCTGTGCTTCCCACAAACAGAAAAGGCAGCTCAAAAAGGCACTGAGCTGGCAATGTTGATCAGACACATTCACTGTCACATGCTGTCCCTGATGACCAACTTGGTGACCGTTCTAATGGGAGAGATTTCCAAGGCAGCATGGAGTATCGGAGGAAATATGTGCTGCACAGAGGTGAATTAAACTTGAGGCAAGAATTTGGAAAATCCTACACTGTCAGAAAACTGCAGTAAGGATGTCATGAGAAGAGAGAAATACCCCTAGACAGAGCCACGGGAATGCCATCTTCCATCATTCCTGACCTTGGCTTTCCTGGACTCGTCAGAGGTCCCTGGGGAGGTGGGGGACAGAAGCACACGGCTGCAGCCTTTTGTACACACTGCTCTCAGTGCTCTCTGAAGACACCCTACTGTGTGGCCCCAGGAACCAGCAAGCAGCAAGAAGGGCCGGATGTGAAAGCTATGTTGAGAGGTCTAGATTCTTTTCCCCCCACTAGTAACTGGTATCATTGGAGGTTTCACCATGGGGGAGAAGGGTCGGCCAGAGGCATGACATGCTTATTTATTTATTTATTTTTGGACAGGCAGAGTTAAGACAGTGAGAGAGAGAGACAGAGAGAAAGGTCTTCCTTCCTTTGGTTCACCCCTCAAATGGCCGCCACGGCCGGCGCACTGCGCCGATCCAAAGCCAGGATCCAGGTGCTTCTCTTGGTCTCCTATGCGGATGCAGGGCCCAAGCACCTGGGCCATCCTCCACTGCACTCCTGGGCCACAGCAGAGAGCTGGACTGGAAGAGGGGCAACCGGGACAGAATCCGGCGCCCCAAACGGGACTAGAACCCAGTGTGCCAGCGCCGCAAGGCGGAGGATAAGCCTAGTGAGCCGTGGCGCCGGCCAACATGCTTATTTTTTAAATGTTATAATGACAATCAAAATCCAAAAGTTGATTCAAACATACATGGAAATACGGATCTCGAACAGTTAGAGCAATTCTGGAAAAGGATATACGTGGAGGACTCTCACCACGTGATTTCAAGACTTATGGAGCTACTCAAGATCATGCGGTATTGTCATAAGACAAACAGACCAATGGATCAAAATGACGAGTCTCAGAAGAAACTCACATACACACAGTCAATTGATGCTTTGATAAAGCTGCCAAAGGAATTCAGTGGTGAAAATGTCTTTTTAGTAAAACATTTTGAGCACCAACATGACATCACAAGTGGAAAATTCCTCTCTCGACCTCATGTGTGAAACCTCATGTTTAGACTTGGGCCCATCCCTAAGACATCTCATTATATATATGTAAATATTCCAAAATCAAAAAAACCTAAAGGTTGAAACACTTCTGGTTGCAAGCATTTTGGATAAGTGATACTCAACCTGTATATATGTATTTTTTAGACTCCCTTTACTTATAAAACAAAAAATTAAATTTTCAACAGAATTTATAACAGAATATTATATCGCATAGGTCTGCTACATCAAGTGCTCTACAAAGAGAAGGAAATGTTTTAGGAAAAACTATCTTCTGACTGAGATTGAATTCATTAAGTAGAAATGAAAATAGTATATATGATAATTTAGGATAATATATAAATTTGAGGGGCTGGCATTGCAAGTAAAACCACTGTCAAGGGCCGGCTCTGTGGTGCAGTGGGTTAAAGTCCCAGTCTGCAGTGCTAGCATCCCATATGGGCGCTGGTTCAAGTCCTGGCTGCTCCATTTCTGATCCAGCTCTCTGTTATGGCCTGGGAAAGCTGTAGAAGATGGCCCAAGTGCTTGGGCCCCTGCACCTGTGTGGGAGACCTAGAGGAAGCTCGTGGCTCCTTACTTCAGATAGGCCCAGCTCCGGCCTTTGTGGCCATCTGGGGAGTAGACCAGTGGATGGAAGACCTCTCTCTCTCTCTGCCTCTCTGTAACTTTGCCTTCCAAATAAATAAATAAATCTTAAAAAAAAAAAACACTGCCTGTGATGCTGGCATTCCATATGGGTGCTGGTTCATATCCTAGCTGCTCCATTTATGAAACAGCTCCTTGCTAATGGCTTGGGAAAAGCAGCAGAGAATGTCCCAAGTGATTGGCCCCCTGCCACCCTATGGGAGACCTGGAGGAAGATCCTAGTTCCTGACTTCAGCCTGGCCCAGCGCTGGTCACTGTGGCCATCTAGAGAGTAAACCAGCCGATAGAAGATCTCTCCCTCTCTCATTGTAACTCTGCCTTTCAAATAGAATAAAAATATATTAAATAAAAGATGTAAGTTTGATATATTATCCATGCACTTACAGAATCACTGTCATTTAAAATTTTTACACAGTTGCATGCCAATGTGGATATTGAATTTGGTTTGAGCATATCAAGTGCAACTGAGTGCAGCTATTGAAAAAGTGGAAATACTGCAGAAACATATACAGAAATCACTGTTGCTTGATTACTATCAGTTTGGGCAGTTCAGTTAGTTTCCAGTTCACCGACAGGAGAAACTGAACAATAATAGGCGTTCTTTAATTCAGAGCAATTAGCCCAATGGAAATGAAAGAAGGGAGAATGTATGTGTGGAGAAGATGTTAAAATGCATGCAGGCTGGTCCGTGAAGAGTCAGGACTTTCTCCAGCCTGTTGAGGACAGTGAGGGGAGGTAGCACGATGTCTAGATGAGAAATCTAACATCCGATTCCTGGTCTTTGCTCTGCCACTGACTTGGTGACTCTGGTTGGACAAGTCACTTGACCTTCCTGTGCTGGACTTTGTCATCTCTTAGAGGGGGTCAGGCCCTCCCTGTCCAGCTTAGCCCTCCAAGAAAGTCTGCACCTAACTGCCACACGTTGTTTTTATTATTTGCTGGTAACACACTCTCTGGTGTGAGCCCAAGTTGGAGCCATGCAATGGTTTGTGCTCCAGCTTGGAGCTATTTTAGGAAATAATCAATGCAAGATGCGCTGGGTTGGAGCCGTGATAGGAGTCATAAATCTCAACATTCTGCTGTTTGATAAAATTAATAATGCTTGCGAGAAACATTGTGAAAAACCTTACAGCAGGGAAAAATATAGCGTGCTCACAGAGAGAGCTAAAGCCAATGTGGAAACTGAGTCACCCAGGGACGAGACTGGCACGTGAGGACAATTAGCCTGAACTCCAACAATGACCGATTAACCCAGGGAAGGTTGTTGCTGCTGAGACAGTGTGTACCTGTATATATGCACATGCACTGTGCCTACATGTACACATATGTTCACAGACACAGAAACACAGACACACGCTCACATATACACACGTAAACACATATGCATGCACAACACTAACAGATGCACACACACACACGGACACCCATATATACATACACACAGATGCTTACATGTACACACGTACACACATATGCATGTGTGACAATACTCACAGATATACACATATGTGAACCCCCAGATATACAGACAAGCACATGCTCACATATATACACGTACACACATATGCATGTACAACACTCACAAATACACACACACGTGCACACCAGATACACATGAGGGCACACACACCTGAGCAACAAGCGCCGGTTTTGTTGGCTGGGTCTCAGAAGAGACTGGCACATTAACCTTAACTCCAACAATGGCTGATTGCCACTTGCCCATCAGGGGCTGCCTCCTACGGAAATGCCAGCTGCTTCAGGAGTTCAGCATGCAGCAGCCCTGGTGTCTCTGTCCATTCCTCGCTGGAGGAGGAGCCTGCTCCTGCAGCTTTGGGTCTCTTGCTGTTGTGTGTGGGGAGTGAGAAGAGGAGGGTGGAGGGGAATGGAGACCTTGTGATACTGACACCATCAAAGCCCTGAGATGGTCTAGGCCTAGAAAGGAAGGTGAAGGATAGTGCTTTTTGTGTGTGTAAGGTATTCCCAAACCTTCCCCACCCACGGTCCTCACATCAAGACTGTTGCCCAGCCTTCAAGTCTGGGGTTGCTGTCGGTTAGGGCATCAGGGCAGAGACGCTGCGGGTCTGGGTCATGCATGGCAGGAGGCAGGAGGGTCATGCATGGGAGGAGGCAGCACCTTCTGGGTTCTGGGCTTGCACAGGACACAGGGGAGCCCCTGGGGTGGGGGCAGCAGCCCAGGCAAGGCAGGCCACAGCCTGAGGGGTGTCAGAAACTATATCAGCCCTGAGGTGGTGGCTGTTGACTGCATTGTTTTTTTTTTTTTTTTTATCTTTTATTTAATGAATATAAATTTCCAAAGTACGACTCATGTGTTACAATGGCTTCCCCCCCCATACCGTCCCTCCCACCCACAACCCTCCCCTTTCCCACTCCCTCTCCCCTTCCATTCACATCAAGATTCATTTTCGATTATCTTAATATACAGAAGATCAGCTTAGTATACCTTAAGTAAGTATTTCAACAGTTTGCTCCCACACAGAAACATAAAGTGAAAAATAATAGATGATTTTTTTTAAATGATGATGAAATCAGATCAGACCTATTGTGTTGACTGCATTGTATTAGCAAAAAGCTCTTCACACACTCAGAGACCTCAGCAGGGTGATGTCATTATTTCCTAATTGAAAGACTGCTTTCATCAGCTTGAGGTTTTTTACTGTAAAAATATCAACATGCATGTGTGATAAAAAACTGAGTTTGAAAGACTGGAAAACCATAAGGAGACACTGACATTGGGTCTGTCGTGTTTTTAGGCAGAGAAAACAAGGAATTTCGTGGGTCGAAGCCTTGTCATTGGGGAAGTGCTGTCCATCGCGGACACGGCCACAGCTGTGAAGGTGAGTGAGGCGGGGCACCTGCCCTCTGTGAAGTCCTCTTGGTATGATTGGCAGGGGTGGGAGCAGCTGCAGGCTCTCAGCACAGTGGCCGGAAGAGAGGCCTGTGAAATGGGAGCCTCACAGCCCCGCCCCTGACCTCTTCTGTAATCCAATGCTGTTTTTATTTTTCCTTCGGTACAGTGTTTGTACATTTGTACCAGTCACTTTTCTTTTAAGAAATATTTATTTATTTGAAGGGTAGAGAGTTAGAGGGAGAAGGAGAGACACACAGAGAGAGGTTTTCCAACCACTGGTTCACTCCCCAATGGCCGCAATGGCCAGGGCTGGGCCAGGAGCCAGGTGCCTCCTCTAGGTCTCCCACGTGGATGCAGGGGCCCAGGCAGTTAGGCAACCTCTGCTGCTTTCCCAGGTGCATTAGCAGGGAATTGAATCAGAAGTGGAGCAGCTGGGACTCAAACCAGTGTCCCAGGCAGCAGGTTAACTGGCATTGCCACAACACTTGTCCCTCAGTCACTTATTTTCATTTGTCTTAAATTTTATAAGAATAGTGTCATAATCATTAATGATTTATTTAAATATTATTGCTGGATTGGTTCACATTGTTGCATGTGTCAAAGTCAAACCAACATGTAGAGATGAATTGCCGATAAAGGAACTTTTACTGGGAGTAAAGAATAGAGTTGTGATCTGGGATACACAGAAAGAGGCGGGGGTGGCCTCTGGCAAATTTGGAGAACAGAGGAAAGGTTAAGATTTTATTAGGGCAGAGAAATCAAGAAAAGCTATTATTATTTTAAAAATTATCTAATTTCTCATCCACTACACACACACACACACACACACACACACGTGTGTGTGTACAGAGTGGGCGGTGTTCCCATCTACTGGTTCACTTCCCAAATGCTTGCAATAGCTGGGGCAGGGTGGTGGTGGGTGGAGGCTCAGAGCTGGAACTCAATCCAGGTCTCCCTCGTGGGTGGCAGGAGCCCACTTGAGCCATTACTGCCGCCTCCCAGGGTCTGCATTAGTAGGAAGCTGAAGTCAGGACTGGGGATTGAACCCAGGAACTCTGACAGGGATGCAGAGGTCCCTAGGTCAAACCCTGCCCTGGAGCAAGGTCTTTTGAAAGGGAGTTCATTTGCACATTTTAGTGGAGGTGGCAGGTGAGTTCTGACCGGTGAGGGGTTAAGCTAGTCTTAAAGTCACAGAGGGCAGCTCCTTCATCAGTTGCTAAGCAGAAATCCTACTAAAAGACAGAGCAGGCCATTTCGTTGGATTGGTCCTGTGAGGTTGTTCCTGGAGCAGTTGTCTGAGACTCGAGTGGTCCCCTTTCTGGTGCCCTCAGCTCCATTTACTGGGCTTTACCATTTTATAAAATAAATTTTCACATGTCATTTTTTCATTCATGAAAAATTTTTAAAAAATATTTATGTATTTATTTGAATGGTAGGGTGACAGAGAGAGGGAGAGATGGAGAGATAGGAGAGAGATCTTCCATTTGTTGGCTCACTTCCCCAATGACCACAATAGCCGGACTGGGCCAGGCTAAAGCCAGGATCCAGGAACTCCATTTAAGTCTCCCACATGGTGGTAGGGGCCCCAGTACTTGGATCGTCTGCTGCTTCCTTCTCCAATGGATAGTGGGGAGCTGGATCAGAAGTGGAGCAGCCGGGATGCGAACCTGTGCCATGATATGGGATGCTGGCATTGTACGTGGTGGCTTAACCTCACTGCGCCAAAATACCAGCCTCAATGAAAAAAATTTAAAGAACTCTTTGTTTTGAAATATTGCTCATAAACAGAAGGGTAGCACATAGAGTCATGTGAACTCTTTACCCGGTCTCCACTGGTGATGCCTTATACACTGGGTGTGTCATATACAATCAGGAAACTGACCTGAGTCCAGTACTGTTGAATAGGGCGCAGACATTGATAAGTTTCACTGGTGTTTACATTCAGTTGTGTGTGTGCGTGTGTATGTGCATGTATGAGTGTATGTTTCATGTGCATACATGTATGTGTTTGTGTATATGTATTGTGTGTACACGTGCGTACGAACATGTATGTGTATATGTGTGCAAGTGTATGGGCATGGATGTGTGTACTATGTGCATGTGTGTACTGTGTGTGCATGTGCATGTATACATGTATGCATGGTGTGCATGTGTGCACACGTGTATATGTATTATGTATATGTGTATGTGTGTACATGTATGCACATGTATATGCCTGCGTTGTGTGCATGTGTTATGTGTACCTATGCATATCTGTGTGCACACACACCTATGTATTGCAGGCATGTGTGCATGTGTCTGCACACATGTATATGTACATGTGTTAGTGTATTGTGTGTACAGGTATATGTGTTTGTGCATGCATGTGTATATGTATTGTATTTATGTGTGTACACGTATATGTGCACACATGTGTGTAGTAGGTACATATGTATTGTATGCATGTATTGTATGCATGTATTGTATGCGTGTGTGCATGCGTGCATGTATTGTGTGTACATGTCTGTGTATGTGCACACTGTGTTTGGATTGTCTATGTGCATGTTGTACACATGCATTTGTGTATGTGCAGGCATGTGTGTATGTGTTGTGTGTAGGTGTACATGTGTGTATGTGTATGTATTTTACATACGTGTGTATGTATTGTATGCGGGTATACATGCATGTAGTTCCGTGCAGGTTGGCCCCATGTACAGACCTATGTAGCCACCACCACAATGTAGATAAGGAAGTGCATGGTCATCACTCTGCATGCTGCCACCTTCCCGCCTGTCCTCTGACAGCCACCAGCAGGTTGGCATTCTTCCCGCACCATTTACCCACCTCTGACTACTCTCGCCATCCATCCTGGAGCATCCCCCCTCCTTCACCTGCTAACACCTGCTGGAATGTCCTTCCCTCAGGACACATGTAACCATGTTAAATTTATGTGTGTTTTTATTCATGTGGCCACTTCATGCCTCTTAGCACCAGTAGCAGGCAAACTCTGCCAACAGTATCGGGTCCACATTCCTGGTACATAGTAGGCATCAGTGCATGAGTGCCGACTGCATACACAGAGCCTCAGATGGTGAAGCACAGAGTTAGCCGGTGGTGCAGCGGTTCCACTGACTAGACGTATAACCCAAAGGATTGGAAACAGTGCTCATCACTGCGTTCTTCACCACGCCTAAAAGGCAGAAACAAAGCAACCAGCTCTGGAATGGTGTGTACACACAACAGAGCACTACTGAGCTGTAGGAAGGAATGAGGTTCTGGTACACGCTACGTGGGTGAATTTTGGAAACATTATGCTAAGTGACATAAGCCAGACACAAAAGGAAACTAGTGAATGAGTCCACTGAAGTAGGTAGGATGGGCATAATCAGAGAAAGAAGACGGGTGAGAGACTCCCAGAGGCCGGGAGGAGGCAGAGTGGCAAGTTATCCTAATGGTGCAGAGTTTCTGTCTGGGGAGGTGAAAAAGTATTGCAAGGACTGATGTCTGCACAACATTGTGAATGCACTTAATGCCACCTAATTGCAAATTTTAAAATGGCAACTTTATATAATACTCCCTGTATAGTTTGCTTCCAGAAAAATAATAATTAAAAGTAATTATGAACTCTGCTTCCCCCACACATCAGTCATTATGGCTGATTCTCCACCCCTTCTGAGCTTGGAAATCCTTGGCAGTGGGAGGTAGATGGGCCCTGTGTGGTGAACTCAGCTGGGAGGCCGTGGCTTTGCTTTCTGTTGGTGGTGGAAGGCGGTGTCCAGTGGGCTGTGGTGGGCTGGGAACTGTTCCTTTGAGCTCTGGATCAGTCAGTGGGGATGGTCCCCAGATCCACCCCCCACCAAGAGCAGCTGGTAACTCCTGCCTTTTGCATGAGCTGTCAATCACTTGAGTTGGGAGTGACAGCATCAACTTAGCAAAATCATTGGTGCCCCACAGGCTTGAGCCCCTTGACTTGCTCACTCTGATTCCGTGTCAGCCCACAGGCCTTGTGTTTCCCTGAGCACTCTGCACAGACATGGTTGGACTCAGGCAGCCTGGGCTGGCAGGGCCACAGTGGTGGGAGTGGGCATGCAACAGAGGTGTCAGGGAAAAGGACTCCTTCACTGAGGGCCTTGAACCCCTACCCCTGCCTGGGAACTGCCCAGAGTCTGCTGCCAAACACATGGATGCCGCCTGGAAGGTCTCGCGGGCTGAAGCAGACGCAGGCTGCTTCCTTTCCTCCTGTCCTGTCTCTGCTCCTCTCTTTCTTTTTCCATATTGAAGTCGCCTTACTATCTGCGTTAGGGTACTTGGGCCTCTGTAACAAAACATCGTAGACTCGGGGGCTTCAACAAGATACATTTCTGTTCTGACGTTTCTGGAGGCTGCCAAGTCCAAGGTCATGGTCAGGTGCCGGGGAGGGCTCCCTTCCTGGCTTGCAGCCCACTGCCCTCCTGCTATGTCCTTACATCATGGGGACAGGTACCAGTCTCCCTTCCTCTCCTTACAGGGGCACCGATAGGTCCCAGTCTCATGACCTCGTCCAACCCTAAATGCTTCCCAAAGACCTGTCCCCAAAACCATCCCTCTGAGGTTGAGGACTTCAGCATTTGAGTTTCAGTGGACACGATTCAGTCCATACACGAGGACCATCCCCGTGAATCTCATTTGCTCTTGGAATGAAAAGACCCCAGATGCCCTTGCAAGCTCTTTAGGAGACCTACTGTCGGGCCATTGTGTAGGAACATCATGGCCCATCACAGCCGTGACGCTGGCAGGCTTCCAGTACGCATGATGGACTTCACTGGTCCATCGTGACAGTGGCACAGTCAGAAGTACGTGGGCTCACATTCAGTCTCTGGGACTCCCCAGGCATGCTCTGGCATGTTCCTTCCTACACGTGCATTGTAGTTTTCTCTTCCATGATGCAGACAATACTAATGCCCATTGACAAGCCATGTGCAGGTTTAAGTTGCTAACACCTAGGGGCCAGTGCTGTGGCATGGTGGGTAAAGCCACCACCTGTGGTGCTGACATTCATTATAGACACTGGTTCAAGTCCCGGCTGCTCCTCTTCTAATCCAGCTCTCTGCTATGGCCTGGGAAAGCAGTGGAAGATGGCACAAGTGCTTGGGCCCCTGCACCCATGTGGGAGACCCGGAAGAAACTCCTGACTCCTGGCTTCGGATCAGCCCAGCTCCAGCCATTGTGGCCAACTGGGGAGTGAACCAGAGGATGGAAGACCTCTCTCTTTGTTTCTCCCTCTCTCTGTCTGTAGCTCGACTTCTCAAATAAATAAATAAAATCTTGAAAAAAATTAGGTAACGCTTAGGAGGAAGTCTGTGCTCAGCCCATCAGGGAGCAGGAGGTTGCTAAATGTAGAGACCCGAGACCTGGTGAGGAGCCCTTCCCAATAGCCTTCCAAGTGGCAACTCTTGGTAGACTGAAGCGCCAGCAGCCTCCTTTCCCAGATGTCTCCCACTGTGGCCTCAGGAGGGCTCTGCCAGCTCCTGCTGAGTGTCAGGTGCATGACCTCCTTGCCTTTTGCTTCTGCACATGAGTGAGGAGGGAGGGAAGGGAGCTCCTGAACACACAGCGCCAGGCTGGCACACGCTGGAAGTCAGGGCATTCAACAGGTGTCCCCTCCTTTTAGGTTCGTCATTACTGCTTTTCCCAGTTTCTCACAGAGCAAATTCACCTCTCAGAGCCCTGTCCCCGAGGTCTGCTGGGGACACAGTGCCCTCTGGAGAGGCCAGTTGGCAGTCTCTCTTATGATGGAATGATGCCTCTGTCCAGTAGGTCCCAGCATCTGATTTATTGAGTCTACTCCTCCTGGCTTTTTCTGTCTCCTGGATTCTCCTCCAACCAAGTTGCCGCATTTGCAGTTAATGGGCCTCTATCCTCCCACCAGTGACCCAGGCCTGAGACCCAGGCTTCTCCTAGAGTCTTTTCTTTCCTGCTTCTCCCAAATCCAGCTTGTTACCTCTGTGTCCAGTCTACACTTCTCTTTCCATTGATCATCTCAGTCAGAACTGCCTCTGCCATCCACCTGCCTTCTCCTTTCTCCCAGAGGGGCTGGGGTCTTGCTCCTCCCAGGAAGCACCTGCTGAAAGCATGTCGGGTCAGGGAGCCCCCTGCTTAGGACCCCCTAGACTCTGTCCCTGCACGAGACCCAGAAAGGTTGGCTTACCTGTCACTCAGGCAATGTGGCTGTTGTGGGGAAGAAGCCCCACGCTGAGCCTAACTGCCTGAACTGGGGTCATGCAGATACCACCTGCCAACTGCTATGGTTGTCAGCAAACCTGCACTTCACTCGCTTGCCCAGGGCTGCTCCTCATGTGTTTTAGTGTAGGGAAGCTTTCAAAGTGTGGGTGGACCACCCAGTGCCCACCTCCCCCCTCTTCTTAAAGAGGAGGAAAGGTTCGATGGAGGAAGGAATTTAAAACCCAGAAAGAATATATTGCAAAGAATGCATTTGCCACCAGCCAAGGAGATTTAGGAGTGGAAAATTCAACTTGTTTTCGCTTGAGAAAAATACTGTTTAGCTTGATTTCTTTTTTTTTAAGTTTTATTTATTTATTTAAAAGTCAGAGTTACACAGAGAGAGAAGAGGAGGCAGAGAGAGAGAGAGGGAGGGAGATTGGTCTTCCATCAGCTGGTTCACTCCCCAATTGGCTGCAATGGCCAGAGCTGCGCCGATCTGAAGCCAGGAGCCAGGAGCTTCTTCTGGGTCTCCCACGTGGGTGCAGGGGCCCAAATGACTTGGGCCATTTTCTGCTGCTTTCCCAGGCCATAGCAGAGAGCTGGATTGGAAGTGGAGCAGCCAGGTCTCAAACTGGCGCCCATATAGGATGCTAGCGCTTCAGGCCAGGGCTTTAACCTGCTGTGCCGCAGCGCCGGCCCCCACTAGTTCTCTCTCCAAATGCCAGGAGTCTCTGCCCTAGAGAAAGTTGCTCAGTCTAAGGCCAGACTCAGGATTGGGCCTCACACCCTTGTGCCTGAGACGTCCCTGGGGACACAAAGCACTGCATGGCCTGCACCACCAAGGACAGCTGGTTGAACAAGGAGGCTATGGAATTCTGAAGAAGACCAGAGTTTTCTGCAGCTATTCGGATAAGCAGCTGGCTGCCAATCACTGTGAGCGCCCTGCGGACCGCCCCTCTGAGGGGCCGGGCACCTGGAGCCAGGCATCTGAGGGCAATCTCTGCCTCTGTGGTGGACACACATGACACCGAAAGTTGGAACTCCTGCACCTGGCACCCTGCCGCGGTGGACGCCTGGGCTGAGGCAGAGGCCTCACCACCTTGCCCTGCGGCCTGCGATGGCCCTCAGCTCGAGGAGCGCCCGCCCCCTCAGCAGGGCCCGCTGCTTCTGGGCAGGTCCGGTCCAGCTGCTGGCCGTTCCCGGCCGCCTGCGTCCCCGGCATCGTCCGAGCCCCTGTTGGGGGCATGCATCGAGGCTCTCACTACCTCCTGACACCCACGGCAAAGGCTTCCCACCTCCTAGAGTCCGCTGAGGGACTGGGGCTCTGGGGCGAGCTTGGCGCCCAGCTCCGGACCTTCCACAGAACGCCACAGGGGTGAGCCCTGCGCCTGCGCCGAGAGGCCCCTGGGAAGGCGCCCCTCTAGCTTGATTTCTAAGATGGTTTAGGGGAAAAACATGTCCTGTTTGCACTAATTCCACTTTCCCATGTTGAAATGAGTAATGCACTTTGTAGGGCCCACGATGACTCCCTGAAGAGGTGCTGAGCAATCAGGGCAGTAAGCATCTTCCCAGGGTACGTTGTCAGGAGCTGAATGAAGAGCACTTCACTCACCTGTCGGATGTGATGAGTGAAATTTGTTCCTCCCCATGCCAGAGCCGTTCGTTGGTCTAGTTCCATTTCATGAAATGAACTCCAGGCTGATCACACACATGGAGTGCAGAGGGCTCATTCAATTGCGGTGACCCCAGAAAAGAAGCCCAATCCCAATTTACCTAAGCAAAAAAGACACTTAATGGTTATTAGAACTGATGAGTCCAGAGCGGGGCAGGCTTCAGGTGCAGGTGCGCGGGGTGCCGTCACTCATCTCTTGGCTCTGTCTCCTTCTGCACCTGTTCCCCATGCATGTGCTTCATTCACCAGCTGTGGCAGTGTGGCTTCCAACAGCACCAGGCTTCCATCCCTCCAGGCTCCATCGTATCCCCAGTGGCTCATCCACATGTCCCAGTGGGCACTCTGAGCCCACCAGATCCTTATAGCCAAGGGGATGATATTGTGCAGATCACCAGTCCTAGGTCATAGACTCATTGTGGGTTAACATTGCCTAGAAATCACTTAGACTGATTCTGGGGGAAGAGGGCTCACCAGACGACAATCGGGGTTGTGTGGCTAGGGAGGGGAAAGATGCTGACCTGAAGATGGCAGCAAATGTCTGTACACTTGAGTTCTCTGTCTTTGCAATCAGTTGCCCTGTTCCTTCCAAATGCTCAAGTCACCTTTCTCCTCTCCCTCTGTGTCAGTAATGCTGTTCCAGAGTTTTTAGAAGACCAGGCAAAATGCTTGGCAGTTGTTGGGTGTCATTGACTCCTGTGGAAACCCGATGAAGTTCTTGCAGACATGAGTAGCTGAGGTTTGAACCTCAGCCCTGCTCACACTCTCAGGTGCAACCCTGGGTGAGTCACCTTGCCCCTAGGAACCTCAGCATCCTCAACTGTCAAGCAAGAGCGATGATGTCTCCTAAGGAGGACTCAGGAGGTGGGTGCATTCATCCATGACCCCATTTATCAGATGCGGAAAGTGAGGCCACCGTGTAACCGGCCCACAACCCTATAGCCAGTGGGTAGCTGAACCCACTGGTAGTTGAGCCCAGGCTGTCATACATGTCTGAAGCCATGTGCTTTCTTGTTTTTCAGCATCACTCTTTCATCAGCCATCCTCTGGCGGGCTGCCTGTCATGCAGAACCACCCCTGCAGACTGCAGACAGCATCTGGGGTCATGGCACAAGCACCTTGTGATGTGTCTTCAGCGTGTTAGTTAGATCCCAAGAAGTCATGTTGAGAACAGTCATCTGCTAGGGTGACCTGGGCAGGCTGAGGGTGGAGGACTGATTCTCTGTGGAGCTGGGCAGGGGTCTTCTCCTAGACTGGGGTCCAAGAGTTGTGTCTGCAGAGAGGCATCGGTGCCTGACATGCCGGGAAGGGTGAGGGCTGGAGAGTCGCCACCTGGGGCATTTGGGTAAAGCTCAGGGAGCCGAGCAGGTGTTCCTTGAAAGGAGTTTGGTCAGGCCGGCACCGCAGCTCACTAGGCTAATCCCCTGCCTAGAGGCGCCGGCACACAGGGTTCTAGTCCCGGTTGGGGCGCCAGATTCTGTCCCGGTTGCCCCTCTTCCAGGCCAGCTCTCTGCTGTGGCCAGGGAGTGCAGTGGAGGATGGCCGAGGTGCTTGGGCCCTGCATCCCATGGGAGACCAGGAAAAGCACCTGGCTCCTGGCTCCTGCCATCGGATCAGCGCGGTGCGCCGGCCGCAGCGCGCCGGCCGCAGCGGCCATTGGAGGGTGAACCAACAGCAAAGGAAGACCTTTCTCTCTGTCTTTCTCTCTCACTGTCCACTCTGCCTGTCAAAAAAAAAAAAAAAAAAAAAAGGGAGTTTGGCCAGTGGGTTAATTTTCATGAAACCGTTGACCGTTGCTAATACTGGTGTGCATTGTCCTTATTTTTAGTGTGGAATAACTTACTGGCTATTCGGTGGTGCTATCAGGAATCTTGGGAGCCCCGGACACGTGACTAAGTGGTTTCAGCCACTCCAGGTATGGCGTGTACCTTAATAGATGCCTTCTACAAATAACCTTAGAAATCCGTAGTACTTAGATGGGTTAGTGTTTGAAAAAGAAAGAAAGCTTAGCAAAATTAGTGAGAATTTCTAGGCTGTCCCTTTTGTGTCTGTCTTATTGTTAACCTCACCATAGGTGTTGTCAGACTGAATTTGCATAATTATTTCCACCTGACCTCTTGCACGCTCACCCACATTCTCAGTGGTCTGAGAGGTCTCTTGTTGGAATGACTGTTTTAGCTTATTCTGCACTGCTATTGCAAAACACCTGAGGCTAGGTCGTTTGCAAAGACAAGAAGTTTGTTTAGCTCACTGTTTTGGAGGCTGAAGGTGCAAGGTCAGGCGGCCCCATGTTTTCCACCCCTGGTGAGGGTATTATGGCAGGTAACATCACAATGGGGGTGGTGGTGGTGGTGGTGGTGGTGGTGGTGTGTGTGTGTGTGTGTGTGAGAAGGGTCACCCACTGGGCAGGAAGACAAGGACTGGAGAGCACCCAGGGACTCCTCTATAACAAGCCTCTTGGGTGCTAACCGGCCAGTGAGAACTACCTTAACCCCTTCCAAGGGCAGTGCCTCCAGTGACCCCTCAGGTCACCCCCTGGGGGACAGACCACTTCCAAACCTCAGCAGCCTCCTCTGACTGGCGAATCCTCTTCTGCCATCTGGTACCTCAGGAGCAGAAATATACTGGGATGTTCGCGATGACGGAGAGGGGTCATGGCAGCAACGTGAGAGGGATCCAGACTGAAGCCACCTTTGACCTCTCTGCACAGGTGAGGAGTCACCATTCCAGTCCCTGCAGCAGACCCCCCCGCAGGGTCCACCTTTGCCCCTGCGGTGTGATTCAGAACACACGTCTAAGTGTGCAGGTGACGTGTGCCCAGCCTTCAGGTTCTGTCGCCAGCCAACACTTCTACCCAGCCTGCAATGTGCTGAGTGCACTCCACACAGCTCACAGGCTCTTGTCAATTTACTCCCTCGTGACAGCTCAGTGAGGACAGTGCTGAAGCTGTTTGCTGTCCCTTCCAAGAGTCACTGGGACAGGTCTGGAAGAGGTGCTTTCGTTGGCACGCTCCTTTGCATCGTTGCAGGAGGGCCCTCTCTGTGCCGGGACTTTCTTATCAGCAGCTGAGTCCTGCGTGCTTGGTGCAGCCGTCTCTTGGTCCCCACGGGAGGCCGGTTCCAGGACGCCCTGCAGATACCTGAATCCGTGGATGTGCAAGTCCCTTGTATAATATGGTGTAATATTTGCATAGAATCTACGCAATCCTCCCATGCACTGGAAATTCCTCTCTCTGTTACTTACAATAGCCGGCACAATGGAAACACTATGTGTCTGTTAGTTACAGTGTTCTTTAGGGACGAATGACCAGAATAAAAAGCTTGTAATGCTCAGTGCGGTCGCTACTTTTCCTAATTCTTTTGATCCACGGTTGTTCCATCGCGCCGGTGCAGAGTGCAGACTGTATGTGCAGCTGCTCTGAACTGGGTCCTGCACTGACATCTTACATAACAGCCAGAACCACAGCTTCTCGGATCAGCCTTACCTTGTCTACCTCTCCCACACGTGGTGAACTCTGATCTCCTTTCTTCCCATCCCATTCTCTTCCTTCCCTTCCCTTTCCCCACTTCTCTTTGTTATTCTTTCTTTCCCTTTCCTTCTTATCAATTAAAGATGTGTTCGTCAAGGCCCTCCCTGTTGACTTTCTCCAGAGTGGGTGCCCACCTGCACCGTGAACACTCAGCTCTGTCACACCCCATCTCGAACACCTACTCCCCCCTGAATAAACAGAGCAGCTGTTTAAGTACTTGCCTCTCCTTACAGTTTCCAGTCATTGGACATTCCCAAGAACAGCAAATGGAGAAGTAGATCTTGAAGTTCTTTCTAGAATGAGCCTTCATGTGTAAGCATGAGCATAGGTGTGGGCTGGGTGTTAGACTGTGTGGGCACTCGGTCTGTTCTCCATTTTCTCTGAGCTTGGCTTTTCTTTATTTTTGAGAGAGAAGGAGGGAGGGAGGGAGGGAGAGAGAGAGAGAAAGCTTCCATCTGCCGATTCACTCTGGTAAGTACCCACAATGGCTGGGACTGGTTGGGTCCAAAGCTGGGAGCCAGGCGTTCAATCTGGGTGTCCCATATGGATGGCAGGGACCCTAGTGCTAGACCCATCACCACTGTCTCCCAGGGTCTCCAGTAGCAGGAAGCTGGAGTCAGGAGTCAGAGGTGGGTATTGAACCCAGGCACTGTGATGTGGGATGCAGGTGTCTTTTTTTTTAATGGCCAATCAATTTTTTTAACTTTTTTTTTCTTTAAGATTTAATTATTTGAGAGGTACAGTGACAGAGAGAGGGAGAGACAAAGCTCTTTCATCCACTTATTCACTCCCCAAATGGTCACAAAGGCCTGAGCTGGGCAGATCCTAAGCCAGCTGCCAGGAGCTTCTTCTGGGTCTCTTGCATGGTTCAGGGGCCCAAGCACTTGGGCCATCTTCTTGGGCCATCTTCTATTGCTTTCCCAGGCCATTAACAGGGAGTTGGATTGGAAGTGTAGCAGCTGGGACTCGAACTGGCGCCCACATGGGATGCTGCCACTGCAGGCGGAGGCTTAGCCTACTAGGCCACAGTGCCATCCCCACAGGTGTCTTAACCACTGGGTCAAGCACTTGCCCATGCATTTCTTTTAGAGTCTGGATTTTTTGTTTGAAGGTTTTCCTGGCCGTGAATGCTGGTTGGAGGTCAGAATCTACAATGACAAAGGGCTGTTTGGGAAGATGTCTGGCAGCTCCTCCTGTCCTGGTGTTGCTTGTCTACTGTAGCCCAGGTGTCTCAGGTCGCAGTGAGGACAAGTCAACGTGGCCATTACTGAGCTCTTACTGCGCACCTGCCCTGTGTCAGATGCCCTGTGCGTGGGTGCAGTGTTTGCTCCCAGCCATAGTCTCATAAACACGTTAAGTGGCCCCTCTTAAAGGAGCCCTGTGTGCAGGGACTAAGCACTCTCAAATCGCACTGAGTCAGACATGCTGTGATCTGTTTTAAAGATGGGGCTGCTGAGGCTTACAGGGGCTAAGGCACTGGCTACCGTTATGCTGCTCATAGACGAGTCCTGCATTCCGGGGGCAGGGTCACCCCCAAAGCATGGCCATCCTGCCAGTGGCGGTGATGGGTTTTGGCTCACCAACTTTTCATCTCCCCAAGCCATGGCATTGAAGTCACCTTGCTGTCATTCACAGAGTAGAAAAAAAACACCCATTATTCTTATTTGTTTATTTCTTCTTACAATAATTTTTCTTCCACAAAAACAATTTCCTGTGTTGGTCCCATTTTCCCCAAACAGCATAAATGATTTAGCTGCCTGGTGGGCCCCAGCAGCTGCCACGTTCTGACAGGGGAGTTGCCGAGTTGGAATTGTAATGATGAGGAGACCCTGGTGAGCGCCGTCTTCCTGGGGGAGGGGGTGAGGTGGGGAGAGGCCGCACGCTCATCACAGACGCACGCCGCTGAGAACTGACAGCCGGGAATGGGTTTCTCCCTCCATTGGTTTCCATATTTTCCCCTTCATTTCCTTTTCAAAACGTGAGAGCTGATCAAATGAGCATTCTCTCCCTTAAGGACTATTTAAATCTCATACTTTTTGGTTATTCATTCCTGCAGGTTGGTGGTTTTATTTTTACTTGGAGGAGGGAGGGGAATTGCATAGGGGTAGGAACAGTCAAGAGTTGAGAGAGATGGTTTTCTTTTTGCACTGTATGCAGGCTAGCAATGGTACCTGTGTTTGTGAGCTCTCTGGTCCAGGCCGATGTTTTCAGTTCTTACCACACAGATCATTTTGTCATCACGCGTGACACGTAATCATAGCAGTAACCGGTGCACATGGAGTGTGTTGTTTAGATCCAGCTCTGACCGCAGGGTTTTGGCTGATGCAAACTTTCCCAATCAAGCCTGTTACCAAGAGTGGCACAGCTTCTTTCTCGGGTGCATTGGCTGGTGACAGGGGCTGGTGACCTCCTGCTCTCTTCCCTTGTCCAACGGGAACTTTTCTCCCAGGCCACTGTTTCCTCTGCTGCCTCCTCTCCTTCCCCTAAAGGGGGAACTTCACTTACCCAAGGCCATTTTGCTATTTTTCTCCCCCCACTGCACCCAGGCTCAAGTCACTCATCTCCTTGAGAAGTCCGAGCTGGCCTGATAAGACAAGTGTGGCCTCCAGAGAATTCTCTTAAAAAGATTCAGCTTATCCATTTATGTTTCTGAAAAGCACTTTCCCCATGCAAACATGTGTCAGGGAATGTTGTTTTAGGCTTTGAGACTGTATTTCTTGGCCCAAGGAGAAGTGTAGTCTATATCCTTTGTAATCTGAAATGCAAGCTGATCTTTGCATGATCAATAGCTTGTTGGTTTAGTTCAGCCATGTCTTCAATATTGTCAACTCCAGTTAAAAGTGCAGCTCAGCTCTCTGCCATTTGCCTTGGGCCCCCTGCCCTGTCCCATGTGCCCTGTACTCAGAGCGGGTAGTACTATCAGCGCCCCACCCTGGGTAAAATGCTGGAGGGTGACCAGGTATTGTGCAAGATGGCGGACAGCCTGGGAAGGAAGGGTGGCGTTTCCAAAGTAACCCTTGCATCTGCTTCCAGAGAGCAGAAAAAATGCGACCACGCTTGAGCAGAGACTGAAAATCCTAACCAACAAGCAAGCAAACAAACAAAAAAGCCCTGCGTTTTCTTTCTGCTTCTCGGAGACCAGGGTTAATTTCATGGAGACAAAATGCATGGCACAGTCAACAGTTCTTTCCTTATAAGATAGAGACTCATTTCCAAGTGCTTCTGTCTTAAAGGTTTGGATACAGCAACTTTTAGTTATTGTATTTGTTGGTTAGGAAATTGGGGAGCCCACAATCTAAGGGCTTAAGGGAGTGATTTCTTCCTAATAAAAAATCAAAACTGGGCTCATATTCTAAGCAATGGTGAGAGTAGGTCTTAGATTGCCTACCTGTGTTGCTCCAGGTAGAGAGTTCTGGCCTTTCATTGCTTGGTTACGTTTAAATAGGCACCCACATCACAGAGGCAGGGATGTGCGGGGCCACCAGCGGTTTGCGTGGAAGGGCGAAGGGAAAGCACACAGATGTAGACTCTGGAATGAACTGGGGGGCCTAGGCCACTGATGGTCTCTCCTTTGTCGGGAGCCTCCCAGGTCGGGAATTTGGGGTGAGGGGTGTGAGGATGGCTGGGTTTACCCCAGCCAGGCCGGTGATGGATTATTTAAAAGTGAGAGTAGAGTAGTCCAGAGAGAGAAGTTGACAAATGAAGAAAGACCTGAAGAATCTAACCACATGGCACACAGCAGTCAGATGTTATAAAGAAGAGAGGGGAAGAATGGGCGGGTGTTTTAAAAATAGATTTATTTATTTATTTGGAAGAGTTACAGAGAAAAAGAAGGAGAGATAGAGGAAAGGGGGGAGAGGGAGAGAGGGAGAGAGAAAGTGAGAGGGAGAAAGGGAGAGAGGGAGAGAGGGAGAGAGGGAGAATGAGAATCTTTCATCTTCTAGTTCATCCCCCTAAATGGCTGTAACAGCTGAGGGTAGGCCAGGCTGAAGCCAGGAGCCAGGAGCCAGGAGCCAGGAGCCAGGAGCTTCTTCCGTGTCTCCCATGTGGGTGCAAGAGCCCAAGCACTTGGGCCATCTTCCACTGCTTTCCCCAGGCCATTAGCAGGGAGCTGGAAGTGGAGCAGCTGAGACTGGAACCGGCTCCCATAAGGGATGCTGGTGCTGCAGGCAGTGGCTTAACCCACTGGGCCACAACACTGGCCCCCAAACAAAAAAAAAATAAACATTTTTGTTTATTTATTTAATTTATTGGAGAGGCAGGCACACTTATGCGCGGATGGGGAGAGAGAGAGGCGTTCCCATCTGCTGGTTCATTCCCCAATGCCTGCAGTGGCTGGGACTGGGCTGGGTAGAAGCTGGGAGCCAAGAATTCAGTTCAGGTTTCCCACGTCGGTGGCAGGAACTCAGTTACTTGAACCATCACTACAGCCTCTGAGGATCTACATTACCAGGAAGCTGGGTCGAAGCCAGGCATCGAACCCAGGTACTCTGATGTAGGACACGGGTATCTAAACTGCCAGGCTGAACGCCTAACCCCAAACACCTTTTATGGACTGCAAACTGGCAACTTATTTTTCTGGTTGGATTACTCACTGGAAAGTCACTTTCTAGTAATTTCCAAAGCTGATGTGCTGGTGAGTTATGTGAGTTGAGGTGCAGCACAGTGCTGTGAAGGCATGGGGTTGAGCTGGCCGGCGTTCCTCTTGCCTATGGAGTCACTGGCCAGTGGTGGTGGCGCCATGCACCCTGCGGATCTGTCTTCCCAGTACTCGGTGCATTGGGCCAAGCAGCTGAGATGAGAAGGGAACACTCTGTCGCTCTGCTGTTCTGTGTAGGAGTTTGTTATTGACACGCCCTGTGAAGATGCCCAGAAGATGTACATCGGCAACGCCATGCACGGGAATTACGCAGCCGTCTTTGCCCAGCTCATCATTCATGGAAAATCCCAAGGTTAGTCACCCACGCAGAGAACTGGAATAACTCTCTCTCTCTCTTTTTTTTTTTTGACAGGTAGAGTTACAAACAGTGAGAGAGAGAGAGACAGAGAGAAAGGTCTTCCTTCTGTTGGTTCACTCCCCAGATGGCTGCCACAGCCGGCGCCTTGCTGATCCGATGGCAGGAGCCAGGTGCTTCCTCCTGGTCTCCCATGCGGGTGCAGGGGCCCAAGCACCTGGGCCATCCTCCACTGCACTCCCTGGCCACAGCAGAGAGCTGGACTGGAAGAGGGGCAACCGGGACTAGAACCCTGTGCCCATATGGGATGCCGGCACCGCAGACGGAGGATTATCCTAATGAGCCACGGCGCCAGCGCTGGAATAACTCTCTTTATTAGTGTTATTCACTGGATATTTTTTGCTGAAAACCCTTTATTATCTCATAAAAAAATTCAGTACAAACCTTATCTTCTAAGAAGACAGGGTGATGAAGTTTATCATTGCATTATAGCATCGTGCATGATCATGTGCAGTGCTCATTCACGGACCTGAATGAATTTGGGGATCAAAATAATTTTATGCCATCCCAGGAAGTGAATACAGCTTTATTCGTATTTTTGGAAAGGAGAGTTTAATAATATCTCTTTGCCTGTCACAGGGCCCCACTGTTTCATCGTTCCCATCCGGGATGAAAACGGGAGCTTGTACCCTGGGGTGACAGCTATCGACATGCTGTACAAAGAAGGTGAGTCCCCAGGCGACCCCACTCCTGCCCTCATTCCTTCCACCCAGACACTCCCCACCCCACCCAGGAGACTCTAACCTGACTCATCCCACCCAAACAGTGAAGGCAGAGGAAACAGCCCCCAGAGAAGACACTGCTTTGGAAGCCTAATTAAGAGTCTTTTATGCACCTACAGAGAAATAGAATGGAAAGATATGCTTATTTGAGTGCAAATATTTTGAAGGGATCTTCAAAAACTTAATGGAAATGCATATTTTGAAAAAAAAAAACCAGATTTTTATATCAAAATAAGCTTGTCCATTCATTCCATTTCCCCAGACTTTTTTTTTTTTAAGATTTATTTATTTATTTGAAAGTCAGAGTTACACAGAGAGAGAAATAGAGGCAGAGAGAGAGAGCAAGAGATAGAGAAAGAGAGGTCTTCCATCTGCTCCCCAGTGGCCACAATGGCCGGAGCTGCGCCAATCCAAAGTCAGGAGCCAGGAGCTTTTTCTGGGTTTCCCACACAGGCACAGGAGCCCAAGGACTTGGGCCATCTTCCACTGCTTTCCCAGGCCATAGCAGAGAGCTAGATCGGAAATGGAGCAGCTGGGACTTGAACCAGTGCCCATATGGGATACTGGCACTGCAGTTGGTGGCTTTACCCACTACACCACAGCGCCGGCCCCTTCCCCAGACTTTTGAAGTGATCTAGAACTGGCAGAGTGCCATTCATCATGTCCTAGGCATGGGGCAGTTTTGCCTGGGATGCTGCTCTGAATTCTCTCCGTTTCTTATGCTTGTGGGCACTTAGGGAGATGCAGCTCTCATGCCCCAGAGTCCCCCATGGGTGTCTGTGCTGCTGAGGTCCTGCTGCCCCCTGAGGATTGACCCTGTGCATCTGTGTGCTAGGGCTGCCCTGCCACAAACTGCACAGTGTCTACCACAGAAACGTGTGGTCTCACCGTCCTGGAAGCTGGAGCCTAGCATCCAAGTGTTAGCAGGCTTTTTTTCCTTCTCAGAGCAATCAAAGAGGGACTCCATGGTCCCCAGTGTTATATTTGCATGCATATCCGTCTCCAATTCCCCCCTCGGATAGGGACACCAGCCTTTTAGAAGGCCCGTCCTAATGACCTCATTTTAACTTGGTTATCTCTGAGAAAATCTCCAAGTAAGGTCACAGCCACAGGAGTTCATATAATTTTTGATTTTGTTGTTTTTTTTTTTTTTTTTTGGTGAGTGGGAGGAATGCAGTTTAACCCACGAGACCAGGCGGTGACTGCCGCCTCCGCTGGTTGTCCTTGGCCAAGGTCAAGCCAAGACAAAGAAGGTCCTCTGGAACAGCAGGAAAGAAAGAGGGAAGCCAGATGGGGGAGGGGAGGGAAGAAGAGCATCCTTTGGTGGAGGGGCTGGTCTCACCCCTCCCTGGTGTTCCCCCACCATTGTCGCAGAGGCAGGGATGCCCTGCAGGGTTGCACTGCCCCTGGGCTTGCAGGGGTTCTCAGTGTCTCTCCAGGGGTGGCTGAGGCCCTCTCTCCGGCTCTGGCCCCTTCCTTGAAAGGGCCTTACTCACGTGTTGAGCGTTGCTGAGGGCAGAGGGGAAGGCTGTGCTCTTGCGATCTCCTGCCAGGCACTAGAAACCCTGACAGCAACAGAAAAGTCTTCTTTGCTTTCCTCGTCGGCTCCTAAGTGCAAGCGTGTCCTTGTCATGGGCACGTGTTCTAAATAAAGCCATTTCCCGAAGAAAGACTTGGCCCAGGTGACACCTCCCTGAGCTCTCCGACTCCGGCAGGTGTCTTCAGCAAATGGCTCAGGCAGATGTCCCCTGGCCTGCCCCTGTGCCCTTGTGGCTGCTGTCACTGCCCGTGGGCATCTGCCTTCAGAAGCTCAGCTGTGTGATGAGGAGGACGCGCTGGGAGGGGGAGGCCCCTGGGTCCTGTCCTTGCGGGGAAAGCTGGCCTTCCTGCCTTCTCTGTCTCTAGCTTTCTTTTCTGAGAGGTGCACAGAAAGTTCTTTTAAATTTTAAGTTAACATTTAACTGTGCACGACTGTGGGGTTCAGTGTGAAATCACGAGACACACATATAAGGGGTCTTCAGAAAGTTCACGGAAATGCATTTTCTGAGAAAACTAGGCATGCCTGTCCACATTTATTTCACACCAAAAAAAAAATCCATTTTTACACAAACTTTTCGAAGTCTCCTTGTTTCGTGTGTGATCTGATGAGAGTAACTGACATATCCATCACTCTCCCTCTGCTTTTATAAAAAAAAAAATCTATTTTATTTATTCAAAAGTCAGAGAAAGAAAGTGATCTCCCACCCACTGGTTCACTGCCCAAGTCCCCACAGCAGATGGGCTGGGCTATGCTGAAACTGGGAGCTGGGAACTCAGCCCAGGTCTCCCCCTGGGTGACACGGATGCAACTTCCTGAGCCGTCACCTGCTGCCTCCCACGGTGTGTGTTAGCAGGAAGCTGGAATCGGCAGCAGAGCTGGGACTCAAACTGAGAAAGTCCAGCATCGGCTGCTGGCGTCCAGGCGGCAGCTTAGCCACCAGGGCAAGCACCTGCCCTTGCTTTCCTTTCTTAATCGCAGCCCTGCTGGGGAGGTAGGTGTGCTCCACCTGAGCCCTGCGGCCCTCTGCGGCTGTGCAGGAGGAAGTCTGCTCTCCTCCCTTCTCTTGGTGCAGGAGTGAGCTGCGCCGGCCAAAGGCTCAGGCGCAGCTCACCAGGGAGACAGTGTCCCTCCTCGCCTTCCCAAACACAAAAGCACCAACAGCTCTGGGAGCAGAACAAAGGGCTTTGCGTGTTGGGGGAGGCAGCAGGGACAGTATTGCTGCTGCTGCATGGGTGCCTCTGAGCTGTATTTTGTTTCTGCTCTCCCTAGGTTTGCACGGTGTGGATAATGGTATTTTGATATTTGACAAGGTTCGGATACCCAGGGAGAACCTGCTGGACAAGTGAGTAGTTTTCTTCTTAACTCAGGCTGTGCCCACTACCTCCTTGCTCTTCCAAGCTGGACACGACTGTTGAGTCTCCCAGGTTGCATATCCCTAACCATCCCTTCAAGGCTACTGACAACTCTTTGGAAAAGGGAGATGAGCCAATGGAGAAAAATTAGAATGATCTAACGTGCCAACATGCTGCTGTCCAGACATGGTGATTGCTGCCTGTCAGTAAGGGGTCTTCAGAAAGCTCATGGGAAAGGTATATTTTTTAAAGAAAGCTTTTATTTAATGAATACAAATTTTATAGGTATAGATTTAGGAATATAGTGGTTCTTCCCCCCATACCCACCCTCCCACCCCCATTCCCATCCCACCTTCTACTCCCTCTCCCATCCCATTCTTCATTAAGATTCATTTTCAATTATCTTTATATACAGAAGATCAACTGTATACTAAATAAAGATTTCAATTGTTTGCACCCACACAGACACACAAAGTTTAAAGTACTATTTGAAGACTAGTTTTACTGTTAATTCTCGTAATGCAACACATTAAGGACAGAGGTCCTACATGGGGAGCAAGTGCACAGTGACTCCTGTTGTTGATTTAACAATTGACACTCTTATTTATGACGTCAGTAATCACCCGAGGCTCTTGTCATGAGCTGCCAAGGCTATGGAAGCCTTCTGAGTCCACAAACTCCATCAGTATTTAGACAGGGCCATAAGCAAAGCGGAAGTTCTCTCTTCCCTTTAGAGAAAGGTACCTCCTTCTTTGATGGCCCCTTCTAGGGAAAAGGGTATTATGAAGAAAAAATTATGCATAGGTTTCAAAGCTTTCTTGCATCGGAGAAGTTTATCTTTGAGCTCTGCTTTCCCATGAACTTCCTGCAGTGCCCTCCTGTGCCTTTCCAGGCTTCTCTGTGCAGATGCGTCTGCAGATTTACCGGGTTTACCACATACATTTTTTATGACTTGTAATTTCCATGCAATATTGCATAGCAAATGTCTTAGATAATAGTAAGCATACACGCACTATTATTTTTAATAGATTTATTTATTTATTTGAAAGAGTCACAGGGAGAGAGAGAGATCCTTCGTTGGCTGGTTTACACCCCAGATGGCTGCAACAGTTGGGATTGGGCTAGCCTTGCCCTCCACCCTGATCTGCCATGTGGGTAGCACAGGCCCAAGTACTTCAACCATCTTCCAGGGCTTTCCCAGCCACATTAACCGGGAGCTGGGTCAGAAGTGGAGCAGCCAGAATTGGAACTGGCACTTATGTGGGATGCTGGCATCACAGGCTGCCACTTCACCTGCTGTGCCTCAGAGCCGGCCCTGCAGTATCACTTTTAACAGCACCATTCACAGAGGGTTAAATACATGGTCTGGAAGTCGTGTCACCCATCCTTTACTGTTGGACCTTTGGGGTCTATTTCTCTGATATAAACTGGTCAGCGCCTTTGCCTCCTTCGTGGGTGGCAGTGGGTGAGACGCCCCCTGGTAGCGTGACGGGCTGTGATGACCACTGGGTCTGGGTGAGTAAGTTCCAGTCCTTCACAGGGAGGCCAGGTTGGGTTCCTCTTTGCAGAGGCTAAGGAGCACCATTACCTTTCACTTTCTCAGCCGTGTTTCATGTATCCAGTAAATATCAGGAGCCACAGTCATGCTGACATTGGACAAAGCCAGGGGTCAGGCTGGGCATCACCAGCGGTCCCCGCGCCTTCCGACAGATTTCCCTGGATATTCTGCTCCTTAGGTTGGCCTGCAAGTTTTGCCAGCAGATGCATGTGAGAGTGGATGCCCAAAGTCTAAGAAAAATGTCTGGGAAACAGACTTGGCCTGGACCAAACTCTGTTGGTTAAATCCCCACTGCCTCCCCGCCATGAGACAAAATGGAAGCTGTAAAAACTTCCTTGCAGTTGTTCGGTGGATGCTGAAGCCTCCTTCAGGAGCCACCAGAGCGCAAGCAGGTTGGAGGACACTGTCCCCACCCCCCAGAGGTGTCTGTGTTTTTCCCAGTCACTCACCAGCCTCACCCATCTCTGGGCAGTGGGGCATGGGAAGGAAAGCCACAGGGCAGGGGAGGGGAGGGCTGGTGTAGGCTACCACGTGATGAGATCTAAACAGCCTCACCAGACAGAAATTGAGAAACAGAACTTGAAAATCATATGGAAATGGAAGAGACCAGAACAGCCAAAAAATTTATTTTAAAGATTATTTATTTGAGGCTGGTGCCGCGGATCAATAGGCTAATCCTCCACCTAGCGGCGCTGGCACACCGGGTTCTAGTCCCGGTCGGGGCGCCGGATTCTTTCCAGGTTGCCCCTCTTCCAGGCCAGCTCTCTGCTGTGGCCAGGGAAGGCAGTGGAGGATGGCCTGAGTGCTTGGGCCCTGCACCCACATGGGAGACCAGGAGGAAGCACCTGGCTTCTGGCTTCGGATCAGCGCGATGTGCCGGCTGTGGCGGCCATTGGAGGGTGAACCAACGGCAAAAGGAAGACCTTTCTCTCTGTCTCTCTCTGTCACTATCCACTCTGCCTGTCAAAAAAAAAAAAAAAAAGATTATTTATTTGAAAGTCAGAATTACAGAGAGAGGGAGAGAGGTATCTTCCATCAGTTGATTTACTCTACAAATGGCCACAAATACCAGGGTGGGGACCGGCCAAAGCCAGGAGCTAGGAGCTTTTTTCAGGTCTCCTACATGAGTGCAGGAACCCAAGGACCTAGGCCATCTTCCACTGCTTTCCCAGGCACACTAGCAGGAAGCTGGGTAGGAAGAGGAGCAGCTGAGACTTGAACTGGTGCCTGTATGGGACGCCAGTGTCACAGGCGGTAGCTTAAACCAGTACACCACAATGCTGCTCGCCACCCCTCTTCAAAAAATATTTTTTAAAAAAGATTTTATTTCTTTATTTGAGAGGCAGAGTTACAGACAGAGAGAGGGAGAGACAGAGAGAAAGGTCTTCCATCCCTTGGTTTACTCCCCAGATGGCTGCAACAGTAGGAGCTGGACTGATCCAAAGCCAGGGGGAGCTTCTTCTGGGTCTCCCATGCAGGTGCAGGGACCCAAGCACTTGGGCCATCTTCCACTACTTTCTCAGGCCACCAGCAAGGAGCTCAGTCGGAAGTAGAGCAGCCAGGACATGAACTTGTGCCCATATGGGATACCAGCATTGCATGTGGAGGCTTAATGTGCTAGGCCACAGTGCCAGCCCCTGAAAACACATTTCAAAGCTACAGCAATCAAGGCAGTGTGGCGTTTATGTACGGCTGGGTATAAGCACAATGGGATAGAATGGATAGTCTAGCAAGACATCTGCATGTATGTGGTAAAGTAGCATCCTTGCTGTCTTGGTACCCCTCTCCTGCTGGGCTGCAGGCTGGTGGCGGACCAAAGCCTGGTGTTGCCTCCCACAAGTGGAGCCTTTCTCAGCAGGTCCTGGGGGGACCCCCCTCCCTCCTTAATCTACTCTCTGGCTCATGGAGGCTCCAGGGTGAGGGGTGTGTGCACGTGGGGGACCTCCTTGTTTCTTGCTAACGCCACCTCTTTCCCATGTCACCCATCCCCTCACCACAGGTTTGGCTCCGTGACACCAGATGGGCAGTACCATTCACCTATTAAGAACATGAGTGCCAGATTCAACGCGATGCTGGCGGCACTGACTCCCTCCAGATTAGCGGTGACTTTCCAAGCCATGGGCGCCATGAAGGTAGCTGACCGTCTTAATCGGCCTCCTTGTTCTGGGGGTGGAGAACAGCTGTGATAGTTGGTGTGATGTGGCCAGGGTTCCCGGGGTGACACTGCAGGGTGCCAGTTGACCACACGCAGGGAACACATTCTGCCCCCTTAAGATGGCATCCTGCCCATCTGCACCCCAGAGGTGTGCTGCTCACTGTGGGGGCCACAGGGAGCATGGGCCTTGTGGCCACAGAGCCATGGGCTGTGACCAGGGAGGACGGTTGGTTCAGGACGAGCACGTCTGGTGGGGCGGCTGAGGTACGCACGTAAGGCTGTGGCTGGGTACATCAATGGGCACTGGGCCTTTCGGGGCTATCTGGGACGGGACAGTCACAGTCACAGGCTGGAGTCCACAAGGCCAGTCCTCCAGAAGCCATCTCTGCCTCCATCTCCCATATTGTGGTTTGGAAAAGAGCAGCCGGGAGAAGCTCTGGATGGCCTCCTTCCCCCTCCTTCCCCACTGTTGTCTTCTCTGGGCCTTTGCTGTCTCTTGGCTTGAGGGGAGAGCCTGCTCTAAGCCCCAGTGCACCTGCGGAAGCTGGAAGAAAAGCCGAGTCTCCCCAGGAGTGTATATTGCCAGGCTTGAGTCCAGGTTCCCATCAAGAGGGAAGAGGTTTCATTCACCTGACTCCACGTCTGATGTCGGCTGCAATGGCCTCAATAGCACGCAAGTCCTCCTCCCCTCCCTCCCACTGGGTCTGCTGCACAGCCAGCCAGCCCTGGCCCCAGCTGCCCCTGGCCATGTTCTTCCCTCTGGTGGGTGTGGCCGAGACCCTGGCCCTGACTGTGGCTGGGTTCCTGCACTTTGGCCGGGCCCTTTCCATAGGGTGAGGTGGGTGTTTGGTTCTGTGGTCCCTGGTCAGGAGTGGCTCAGCTGGACCCTGAGCTGGATGGGCTGAGGAAGGGAGAGCGAGCCCGGGGGAGCCTCATGACAGAGTTGCTAACGCTGGTGCTGGTGCAGGGAGAGCCGGCTCTTCCGGCAGGTGAGAAAATGCCTTGCACCTGTCTCCAGGCCCCCAGAAGGTGGCATGGGGAGAGAAGCAGATGGACTCAGAATTGCGGCGAAGAGGAGATGGGGTTAGCAGAGGCTGCGATGGCTGTGCCTGCAAATATCCCCTCTAATTGCAGCAGCCTTGCCACAGACCTGCATGAGGGTCCCTCTGAGGACAGCACTGGGCACAGGCCTGTGGTCTTGAGGGTCTGCTGGGACCCCTGTGCCCTTGCTAGTTTCCAAGAGGGTGAAGATGTATGGGGACATCTATGCCACCAGCAGTCCCGAGTTCACCGAGGCCTGTGGTGGAGTCGTGTCGGGCTAGGCATGGGGCAGTGCCGATGAGGCAAGGCAGGGGTGTTCCTGGAGAGACTCCGTCTGTCGTCTTACCCAGTGCTGGAGCGGGATGGGGGCAGTGGGTAGAGAGCAGAGACAGCCTGGGGGTCTCATTCTGCTGAACGCTATCCAAGGCCCAGCCTCTGCTGAGCTCTGAGGGTCTTGGATTGGTTCCTTGTTGGTGTCTGATGTGCACACTCTGGTCCTGGCACTGTAGGGCCACAACCATGATCATGGGTTCCGACGTTGGAGAACCCTGTACTCACATCTCATCCTAACCGTGACCAGCAGTGGGAACAGGGGCAAGTCAGTAACCTGCTCTAAGCCTCAGTTTCTTCATCTATAAGATGGGCCTGTGGGTGCTGATGAGGCATGAGTGAGACCTGTGTGCGGCCCTGGTGCAGAGATTCCTGCAGCTCAGCTGTGACGGGTTACTGGGAAGACAGGAGTTGCCTGCAGGAAAGGGCCGGTGGGCTTTCCCCTGAACACACACCTGGCTCCTGCCCTCCAGGCAGCAAGGGCCTGCAGTGTTCACAGAGGCGCATAGTGTCCCGTGGATTCCTGGGTGTCTGGAACACAGCGCCTGACATCAGCATCAGCCCTGCCCACCTGTTGCCAGGCGAAGGGGAGACCTGGCACAGAGCCTGGCAGGGCCCAGACCCCTCTTGGTCCACACACGGCTGATGTCCCTCTGCTGGCCGGTGAGCCGGGCCGCTGTGATCTCAGTGTGTGCGTGTCCGGCGCGGATGATCTCACCGGCCCCTTGGGCAGCTTCTGTTTGCCTCCGGCTTGCACACATCACATATGTTTTCCTGACAGAGACCTGAGACCCGGTGCTGTGCTGGCTGATGCATGGAAAGACGGGTCGCTCCCTCCCGTGTGCATTCCTGCGGTATTAGAGAACTGTCACCGCCGCTCTCCCCGCCCCCGCCTGGCCCCGCGTGACATTCGCTCAAGGCTGAGCATGCCTGGTGCTTTTAAACTTTGCCCAGACATCTGCTTTTTCGCGATTATCTCTCATTTCGGTGGCATTCTGCAGATTTTCTCCCCAAGGCTAGCCTTGCTAGCTATCCTCTACCGTTGTGTCCAAAACGCCATGCCAAATTAAACTGTTCGCGGGGACACAGGGGAAGGAAACTACTTGGTGGGAGTGGGAGTGGGAGGGTGGCTTGTGAGGATTCTGAGGCCCACGTGGGGAGGCTGGGAAGCCTCTTCCCAAAAAGGAACGGAGCTGGGGACACCACTGTGGGTGTGCAGGGAGTGGGAGAGCCAAGGAAGTACAGCCCATCCAATGGGATTCATTTTGCATGGAGTAAGACAAAGTGGTCACCATCCCCAAAAGCAGCTGCCAAAGGTTTGAAATTCGGAGTGGTCCAGGGGTTGGGCTCCCCCACTAGCAGCTCTGGGGTGGAGCTGGGGCTTTGTGTCTCCAGCAAGGACCCGGGTGCTGCTGGTGCCACAGTAGGGGATCTGCACCAGGAAGAGCCCTGTATGGGACACACAGATGCAGTTCTAAGTCCTTAGCACCGTCCCAGCTATCTCGTCACCCTCGTGGCCTTCCAGACTCCCCAGGAAGTACCAGAGCCCAAGTTCTCGTTCTGTCTTCAGGGCCCTGTGGGACCCCCTCAGCCTGTGCACTTCTCCTTGGCCCTGTGTCCTGCTGGCCTCACCTCGGTGGCTCCCCTGTGCTGTGTGTGGGAGACTCGTGCATGCTGCTGGGCTTCCTGGGATACTCAGCTGCCCTTGCTCAGGGCTGATTTCCACGTGCACACCCCAGAGCCCTGCGGCTGTCCATCTTCCAGGAAGGCCACAGCCCGCATGTGGTCCCTGGGTCATCCGTTCTCGGGACACTGAGCCCCAGCTTGCAGAGTGTATTGTGGCTCTGACCCACTGATGGCTGTCAGAGTCCCACAAGGGGTTAGGGCTTCACAGATGAGTTTGGGAGATCACAAGTCAGTTCAGAACACACGGCCACCTCCCGTGTCACTGACTTGGAGACAGGGTGTGGAAAGAGGTCATTAAGTGAAGTGAGGTCCTGGGGCACAGCTCTAATTCCTTAAGACCAGTGGCTGTGAAAGAGGAAGAGACCAGAGCTGGCTGTGTGTCTGTACTCATACAGAGGGCAGGTCTGCTAAGGGCAGTCAGAGGGTGGCCAGGTCTGTAAGCCGGGGAGAGAGGCGTCACCAGAGACTAACTCCTCTGGCCTCTTGGTCTTGGACTTCCGGCCTCCAGAATTGTTAAGAAAATGCATTTCTTTGTTTAAAATCACCCAACCTGTTACGGCTGCCTGAGCAACAAGTCCCTGACAGCAGGTCTTGGGCTGGTCAGTGAGTAATGGGGGGCAGGGAGGGTCTCCCCACTGAGTATTCATCCGGGCTGTGGCTGGTGGGAGCCTGGCTCTTGCTCCTCATCTCATCCCAGTGCCCAGCGCTGCACCAGACAAAGAGAGGCTGCCCAACAGAAGGACATGCCGTTGAGTGGGCTTGGCATACGTGGAAGCAGCTGGGGGATTGTGCTTCTTCCTGATGTCATCATGATGCCACTGAGAGCATAGAACCTGGAGCCAGCCTCTCTGGGTTTGCATCTTGCCTCTGCATGACCTCAGCAGGTGGCTAAACCTCTCCAGCTACTAAAAATAGAGCCAGTGTGCTGCTGTGAGGCTGAGTGAGCTGATGCTCATGGAGGGCTTATACCAGTGCCCATGTGTGCCCAGTCATCCATACGCACACGCTGTTATTCCAGGATGTAGAAGCTTGCATGGCCAAGCTCAGATGCACTGATGATTGCAAGTACCTCTGAGGTTGTGAGGCTGACAGGTGGAGTTTAGAGCACATGCCCACCCCCAGTGGCGCTCAGAGCTGAGGTGGATCAGTGTGAAGCTGACTCGGGCTGTTGGAAAGCAGCTGTGGTCGAGCAGGGTTGGGTGTGGGGTGGAAGCTTGGGCCCCTTGCCACCCACTTGTCCTCCTGGGGTGCAGTGCAGGACATATGGTCTTGAAAGAAGAGTCGGGACGGAGTGACTGTCTTCAAGTCCCAAGGGACTGCAGGATGTAAGATGGGCAGCTCTTGGGTTGTTTCCAGAGCTAAAGGGAGAACACAAGCAGGAACTGGGTTTCAGGCGGGATGCGCGGGCCTTGTGATGGATATGTGGTGTTTGGCTGTGGGCACTGTGGGACATTAGGGAAAATTGGAGGGAAGCTTTTCCAGTCTCTTCCGGTTGTTGATGGGTACTTGAAATGAGCTATCATGTCATTGAATGACCTTCAGACTATAAGAGGTCTTGGAGGATTAGGACAATGACAGGGACTCCCCAGGGAGTGGTGGGCAGTGGCTTGGCCTGGGCTGTGTTTGGCAAACAGAGCAGAGCAGGTCTGTGTCTTCAGCAGTGTTTTCTGGTCTAGCTTTGGGGCAGCCCCTCACCAGCCCTGACACAGCTCTGGTGATGTCCCTGGCCACCACATCCTCACCCCAGTGTCTGGTGGCTGGTCATCTGTGTCTGTGTCTGCTGTCACTGGCTGGGTGGGAGAGACTTGGGGCCAGCAGAGGGGACATCCTTCCTGTCCCAAGGGCCCAGCCTGGGTGCCTGGCTGCCTCGTCACTCCCCAGAGTTGAAGACTACTCAGCCCCTCCAGTGAATGAGCTCAC